TATAATAATTAGGTCCTCATTACACACAGCATTGTAAAGTGGGAAAATATCCATTATTAATTGTGGTGGTAGCAAAAGCTGAGATGTCCACCCTCTTTGTCTAGCAAATTTATTTCACCTGGGGGAGCAGGTTGTTGTAGCCGGTATCTTTAAACAGGAAGGTGTTGTAAGACACACAAATGCTGCCGTATGGTAAAAAAATCAATACTCATTTGTTATACAGTGTGAAAAAACTCCAGAAACCAAAACAAAACCCTATGCTCCTCTTGAAGCTCTATCTAGACTTCTTATTGTGTCCCTCTCTGTTAGCTGAGATCAGTGCGCAAGGAAAAACTCTGCCCTGGAGAGCACACCAGTCTATCAGTCATTGTATTAATATTTTAATGTGGCCATTATTATTATTTGTTTGAAAAATCTAGTGATACATACTTGTCAATAATGGTATTTTGAAAATAAGGTGTATCAATTAAAAACACAAGAAGAGTATCTCACTGGTAGAAGCCAGGGCTAGAGAGTGTAGGACCGTGCTGGGAAACCGTGTGCAATCGTGGTGCTTGAGTTGCTTCGAGAGGCACTACCTCACAAGTGAGAGCTGAGCCCTCTGGGGAGAGAAGGAAGAAGGCATAGGCACCCCTAAGGACTGAGTGGTCGGGGTCCCCAGCAGGGCTTAGGTGCCACTGCTAACCTGAGGCCAAGAAATGAACTTCACTAACAGCATGGAGGAGCCTGGATACAAAGTCAACATTGAAATTGAAAGAGGAGGTGGAGGTAAAATTGAAACCTGAGGCATAAGCACTTGAGAATTTGAGGTTTCAATGGCGAGCAGACTGTTGATTAATAAGAGGAGGGGACCCTGCCCCAAAACTTTCACCTGGTGGTTCTCAAGTAAGACGACATTGTTTAAAAAAATAGTATATTTGAGACTGAATCGTAAGGCATTACAAACAACTCACATACTAAACATTATAAGTACTTTTATGTACACAATTGAGGGCACTGATTGCAGGTACTGAGAGCCTTGACTTCATGTTTGTTTGACGTATGCTGCCTCCTACAGCAAGCCCCTGCCAGCTGCCTCTGGTCTCCACAGTGGGCATTACTTTTTAGTGGAAAAGCAAAAGCACCAC